CTGCTGCTCCCAAACCAAACAAAACACCTAACGTCATGGGAAGCAGGGGGCGCAGTTCCTACAGGTCCGCCTCTTGGGCACAGGGGAGACCATGAAGTGCAGACTGGAAGAGGCACATGGAGAACATTTCATACAGTCAGCACGTCCCCAGGCTAGGCCTGGCCAGTGGACACCCCACTTCTTGAAAATCAACCTCTCCCCACTGGTTATTTATGTTATTATCCTTCCACAAGAACCACATAAAATACTTTACACATTTTTATTTTTTTGTTTTGAGAGCTAAGTTAGTTTTTTTGTTTTGGTTTGGTTTGGTTTTGTTTTTTTTTTTTTTGGTTTTTCTTCCAGTACCGGCAATCGAACTCACAACCTTGCACTTGCCAGGCAGGCACTGTGCTGCTGAGCTAAATCCCCAGCCCCTTATTTTTTTGTTTTGAGACAGGGTCTCACTGTGTAGTTCAGGCTGGCCTTGAACTCACTATGTGGCCCAGGCTGGCCTCTTATATGCTTTTAAAATTCCTAAATGTAACAAAGCTAAGATGTTTCAGCAAATGTGCTCCATGGACAGATCCTACCAAAGAGCCGCTTTTAGCTGACATCAGGACAAAAAGGACATCTCGTGACCTTCAGGGCAGCGACACTGAAGCCAATAAATTCATGCCCCTGACCTGAGAGCTTCCCAGATATCCAAGCTGTCTGCGGCTCCTGAGCACACATCCATTTCTCTACCCACTTCCTGCTGTTCATCTCTTGCAAATATTTACTGCTTTATAAAAACTGCACTTGGCCAGCTACAAAAGCATCAAGGAATCAGAAAAATTCTTCATTCATGCAGGCCTTGGGCAAACAGCCTCCAATATCTCTCCTGAGATGTTCATGAAAACTCATGTGCCCCAAAACTTGAGCTGAAAATCTCTGGGAGTTCAGTGTGAAAATCAGAAAGAGTTTAGCATAAAGCCTGGCACTGAAAAACAGTAGCTAACTTAAGTGTGTACCACAAAATAAATAAATGGGGGCTGGGGATAGAGCTCAGCACATAGCACCTGCCTGGCAAGCACAAGGTCCTGAGTTTGATTCCTGGTGTCAAATAAATAAATAAATCTGTGCCTATAATGCCCGCACTCAGGAGGCTGAGGCAGGAGGATCATTGCAAGTTCAAGACCAGCCTGGGCTACAAAGTGAGCTCAAGGCCAGCCTGAACTGCATAGCAAGACCCTGTCTCAAAATAGA